TCGTCTGCTCTCCCCCAGCCACTCCTGACTGGTGCCAGCAGGACGACTTCCACGTGGAAGGATTTCCRGAGGAAGATGAGGCTGCTGGTGCCATACATGTGGCCGAGGGGAAACCACCTGCTGCAGGGGCTAGTGCTGTTCTGCATGGCACTCATGGGGCTGGAGCGGGCCATCAATGTYTTTGTCCCAATCTACTACAAGAATATTGGTGAGGCACCTGGAGCTTGGTGTGTGAGGCACTCCACAGCCCCACCAAGTGCTTGGGGGTGTGTGAGTGACCTGGAGGGCTGCAGGGGTTTGGCAGGAGCACAGTCCAGGGGATCAGGGTCCAGCGCTGGCTACTGAGGCTGGTTCCCACAGACACCCTGGGATGCTCCCTGTCCCTCCATCCTGACTTTTGCCACATTTTCCACAGTGAATGAGCTGACAGTGGGCGCTCCCTGGCACACCCTGGCCTGGACTGTCTGCAGCTACGTGGGCCTGAAGTTCCTACAAGGTGGAGGTGCTGGTAAGGACCACTGGGAAGGATGGGGCACTGGCGAGAGATACTAGGCACATCGTTAACAGTGCTGGGGTTTCCAGGGAACCCATATGCCCCATCACTGCTGCCCTCTCGGAATCAGCAACCAGGGCTGGTCCCAGGTTGGGAGAGTAGGTGGGCTTCATCCCAAATTCCCGTTTCCCAGCTGAGCTTTCTGAAATCTGCTGCATGCCCCAGTGAGGCTGATCTCAGTTGACTTTTYCATGTTGCCCTGCAGGCTCCACTGGCTTTGTGAGCAACCTGCGCACCTTCCTGTGGGTGTGGGTGCAGCAGTTCACCAACAGGCAGGTGCAGGTGCAGCTCTTCGCCCACTTGCACGGGCTGTCCCTGCGTTGGCACCTGGGGCGTCGCACTGGTGAGGTCCTGCGTAGCGTGGACCGGGGCACCAGCAGCATCAACAGCCTGCTCAGGTTAGAGTGTGCCCGTGGCAGGTGGGGGATGGCAGGGCAGCCCCCTGAGCTGGGCTGATGCCCATCCCCCTTCCCACCCCCCAGCTACATTGTCTTCAGCATCTTCCCCACCATTGCGGATATTGTCATCGGCATCGTTTACTTCACCTCCGTCTTCAGTGCCTGGTTTGGCCTCATTATCTTCGTGTGTATGAGCCTGTACCTGAGTGAGTGGTGGGGGTCAGGATGCAGGGCTGCCAGGCCGTGGGGTGGCAGGAGCCTGCCAGTGTAGCTTCCTTCTGTCCACAGCTCTGACCATCTTTATCACCGAGTGGAGAACCAAGTACCGTCGGGACATGAACACGCGGGACAATGAGGCCAAATCCCGGGCTGTGGACTCGCTTCTCAATTTTGAGACGGTACTGTAGGCATTAGGGGGGTTACTTAGCACTGCTTGGTGCTGTGGGAGATTATTTGGGTGCTGATACCAGCTCTGTGTCCTGCAGGTGAAGTACTACAATGCAGAGAACTATGAGGTGAACCGCTTTAATGATGCCATTGTCAAGTACCAGGTATGCAGTGCTCAGCACCAGTAGGAGCACCAAGGGCAAAGGAGCCAAACCTCACAGGCACTTGTGGGGGATCATCATGGGTCTGGTTTGGAGGTGGCAGTATCCCACAGGACTTTGCCTCTTCCAGGTCTCAGAGTGGAAGGTCAGTGCCTCGCTGGGCCTCCTCAACCAGACCCAGAACCTGGTCATTGGTCTGGGGCTGCTGGCAGGGTCCCTGCTCTGTGCCTACTTTGTCACTGAAAACAAGCTGCAGGTAAGGCTGATGCCAGCCTGTGCAGACCCCTGCTAAAGTGGGGCCCTGGGCTGGTGGTTACAGACCCCTATCCCTTGTCCCTTCCAGGTGGGGGATTTTGTCCTCTTTGGCACCTACATCATCCAGCTCTACACGCCGCTCAACTGGTTTGGGACCTACTACAGGTAATGCTGGGAGCTGTAGATGCACCTGGTGTTGCCCTCTCTGTGGGCAACTGGGTCAGTATGTGCYCCCCCAAATGCTTCCCTCTGCTCTTTGCTCTCTTCAGGATGATCCAGAACTCCTTTGTGGACATGGAAAACATGTTTGAGCTCTTCCACGAGGAGCAGGAGGTAGGTGCCTTCTTCTGGGTGGTTTCCTGAACCTTGCCCTTTGGCTCAGCCCATGGTCCTGTCCTGGGATAGGCTGGCTCTGAGGCTGCACCTCTCTTTCAACAGGTGAAGGATGTGGTGAATGCCAGTGACCTGCGCTTGGAGGCTGGGCAGATTGAATTTGAAAATGTGCACTTCAGCTACACGGATGGGTATGAGGTGCTGGGCACAGGGAGGGAAAAGTCTGTTATGGGACCTGGCACAAGGATGTGGAGCCACAGTGGCCCTGAGCCCCTCTCCATCTCCCTCTCCCAGGAAGGAAATCCTGCAGGACGTCTCTTTCTCTGTGATGCCTGGGCAGACCCTAGCTCTGGTGAGAGTGGGACAGTGTGTGGGTTCACTGGGGGAGGGACAAATGGGGATAGAGAGGCTGGAAAACGAGGTGTGAAGGACAGCCACCCACCAGGGCCAGCCCTTGTGTGTCMAGCCCCTGGCCTCCAGCAGCTGGGAATCTGGCATCTCCAAGTCCCTCCCTTCACCTTTGTGTGCAGGTGGGACCTTCAGGCTCTGGAAAGAGCACTATCATCCGTCTCCTCTTCCGTTTCTATGATGTGCGGGGTGGCTGCATCCGCATTGATGGGCAGGACATCTCCCAGGTGAGGGGGGAGGGCCTCCAAGGATGAGGGTGGGGACACACCAGCTTGTCTAAGCCTCACAGCACTGGCACCTCCCCAGAACAGGGGTGAGCATGCAAGCCCCACAGCCCCTTTGCAGGCTGATGGCTGTGCCAGGAGTGGGCTGAACRGCACAACTGCAGGGCCCGCCCCAGGCTAGAATGCTGGGTCCTGACCTGGGCTCCCTGGGAAGGACTGRGGCACTGTCACGGTCCCCCACTGCAGGGTGGAAATGCAGCTGAGCCTGTGGTGCAGGAGGACCCTGCAGCATGTACCTTGCAAGGAGTGGGGCTCACAACTGAGAGTGAGATTGGGTTTTGGATGGATCTTTGCATGAGGTGTGCATCTGCCTGAGCCCTCTCCCCTGCCTCCCAGGTGAAGCAGGCGTCACTGCGTGCTCACATTGGAGTGGTGCCCCAGGACACGGTGCTCTTCAATGACACCATCGCCAACAACATCCGCTATGGACGGATCCTGGCCACTGACCAGGAGGTGCAGGAGGCAGCCCGGGCTGCTGACATCCAYGACCGCATCCTTTCTTTTCCTGATGGTGAGACCTCTGCAGTTCCCTCTACCCCTGCCATCCCAGGGTCCCCTATGACCTTCTAGCTAACCTCACAGGTATCACTGGGTGACATCCCCCACAGGGAYACCCGTGTGACTCTGTGCCTTGCTTTGCCCTTCCTTGCCTTCTCTCCAGGGCTAGATCAACCCCTGGACAGGGATGGGCTCCACCACGTGGCTGTGTGGTTGCAGTAGGACCTCCCAGGACAGCAGAGCCCTGGTCCCCATCTCCATTTCAGAGGGCACCAGCACAGTATGTTCCCACTCTTGTGCCTGCAGGATACGACACCCAGGTGGGAGAGCGGGGGCTGAAGCTGAGTGGGGGCGAGAAGCAGCGTGTCGCCATCGCACGCACCATCCTGAAGGGTCCTCACATCATCCTGCTGGATGAGGTAACAGCTGTRGCCCCAGCCCAGCCTTACCCAGCCCTGAAGCAGTCCCATGCCCAGCAGCTGCCCACACTGCTTCTACTCCTTCCCCATGCTGCRTCTCTCCTGCAGGCCACGTCCGCACTTGACACAGAGACTGAGAGGAACATCCAGGCCTCTCTGGCCAAGGTTTGCGCGCACCGCACCACCATCGTTGTTGCACATAGGTAGGGACGAGGGGAAAGGGCTGATCTGGGAGGTGCTGGCCAGATTCCCTCAGAGGGGCACACAGAGTTGCCCACTGCTCAGGAGGCGAGAGCCCCTGAGATTGCATCTCCTGGCACAGTGCAAACCCTCAGGAACACTCTTCCCATCAAGTCAGGGTAACACCTGCTTTTCCCTGCAGGCTCTCCACTGTGGTGGGTGCAGACCAGATCCTGGTGCTTAAGGATGGGCACATCGTGGAGCGAGGGAGGTGAGCACAGTGAGAGGGCAGGGGAGGGCATCCTTTCTCTGGCTCTAGGATCAGCTCAAGACCCTGCTTCCCTTCACTCTCCTCACAGGCATGAGGAGCTGCTACAGAAGGGTGGCGTGTATGCTGGCATGTGGCTGCAGCAGCAGACCGGGGATGAAGGCGAGAGCAAGGAGCACCACACCGAGAAGCYCCAGGGCAGCAAGAAAGGGTCATGACCATGACCAGGAGCTCTGCTGTGACACTGACTTGGGTYCAGGCCCCCACAGTGCCTGGGAGTCTTTTGCTGGCTGCAGGCTGGGGCCCTGCTTGCCCTAGAGCTGCAGGGGCTTGGTTGGACACTCCACCACATTTGTACATGTTTTGCTGTTGTGTAGTTTCTTAAACCAGGTCCTTTCCAGGTCCATGCCTGTGTGCTCTGAGCAGGGTATGCGCCTGTTGKTGGGGGCAGGCTGGGTTAGTGCTTGTGCCCTTGGGTAAACTGGCAGCTCTGCTGCAGGGTTGAGCTCCTAGGGCTTAGGTGGGTGTGGTCGAGAAGGCTGTCAGTGCCTGCCCCATCCCCACACAAAAGGCGGAGCTTAGCAGGGGGCTGCAACCTAACAGCAATGGAAAAACAAGGGCAACTGGTGTCCNTGGGTAAACTGGCAGCTTGCCGCAGGGTTGAGCTCCTAGGGCTTAGGTGGGTGTGGTCGAGAAGGCTGTCAGTGCCTGCCCCATCCCCACACAAAGGGCGGAGCTTAGCAGGAGGCTGCATCCTAACAGCAATGGAAAAAGGAGGGCAACTGGTGTCCTCTCATCCCGATGTGCCCCCCCCCCCCCCGCTTCAACCACCATCCAGAGAGATGTGCCACTGTGGGCTAGACACCAAGTGACTGCTCCCTCAGGTACCTCTGTACCTTGTGCTATGCTTTATTTTCTCCCAAGCAGCACTTTGACAAATCTCAGCATTCCCTGGACCCAGCCTGAACCCCTCTCCCTCAGCTGCTTRGAGCAAGACAGCCCAGTCCTGTGCAGAATCAGGCACAGCCCTGCAGGCAGGAACAGTTCCAGCAGCAGGTGGGAAAGCAACACAGCTCTGCATGGTTGCAGATCCCCTGCAAGAGGCCAGCGGGACAAATCCTGCCCCTGCAACCATCAGCTCCAGGCTCAGGGCTTTCTTTGYAAGGAGTTTGGTGCCTCTGCTATCCAGGATGGGATCCCCAGCAACATGGCTGGAAGGAAGGAGGCATTCCTACCCCAGCAGCATTAAAACTGGGCCCTGTTTAAGTTTAGGGCARCAGAGAGCAGCCAGCAGCAGGAAGGCAGCTGCAACCCTCCCGTCGTGTGAGTGACACCAGCATTCAAGTCACCACCAAGGTTACTTATTATATTAAACCAGRAAGGAAATGCAGCTTCATTCAGTCTCAGAGAGGTCTTGTGCCCCAGCTGAGCAGGGTAAGGCCCAACGTGCTCTTGTGCATGCAAACAGCAGGGAGGCACCGAGGGTGTGGGGAGCAGGGAAGGGGCTGCCTTCATGCTGCTGGGAGGCTGCACATTCAGCTGTGCCATGCCCAGGCAAGAGATCATCCCAGCCACATTTGCTCTTTGCTGAGGGSCTGGCAGTGCCCTCCCCAGAGCATGGAACTTAGCCCCTGCTACTGCAGAAGGCAGCTACATCCCAGCTGTATGTCTGAGCATGCAGAGATGTCCCCACACGGCTCTGCCCTCACCCCACAGTCCTAGCAGTGCTGGCACATGGCTGTGGCAAACTGTGGTTAAGTGCAGACCCTGGGCTGCTGCTTGCTTTGATCAGTGTGTGCCCAGCCTCATCCTGTACAGTCTTCACCTCCCCAGGAGCATCAGCAATTTGCTGCACTAATTTCATGTAGATACTAGGGCTGAAGTGTTAGTGTGTATTTGGTGGCTTACAGCTCCCAGGGAGATGAGTTGTCCTTGGCAAGGGGCTCTTGTCACCAGTGTCCAGGCCAGAACCCACGGCATCCATGCGGGAGGCCAGAACCGCTCCTTGGGTCACAAGCAGGATCCCATGTCCACTGGCACAACCTGCCTCACCTGCCTATGACATGCTGCAGTTTGATGGCTTTGAACTGTGTGCCTGGAACAGAAAAAWGCACACAGTGAGCAAGGGAAAACAGGCTTCTTCCTCTCTTCTACAAGGGGGCACACCCAGTGCTCAAGTTCCCAGAGCTGTGTGCTCAGCAGTGATGCTCTCACTGCCCCAGGCCAGACTACCCTCCTGGTGAGRAAAGCCGGCCTAGACAGAACCCAGATGAAGCAGAACCCATGGAGGCCCCCTCCCTGACACAGCTAGGCTAGGATCAACCCCACAACAGTGCAGAGCCCATAGCCAGCCTCACTCACCTGCCGCTGCGACTGCTGATACTCGGCTTCACTCGCTGACAGTGCCTGGGCCAGTGCCAGATCCTCCTCCTCCTGTGTGCTGCTGGGACAGTGGTACATTGTGTGCCTCGGCCTCCCTCAGGCTCACAGGCCAAGTGCTCACAGCCCTTCTGGGTGGCAGCATCTCAACCCCCCAGCACATCTCAGAGCAGGGAGCAACTAAGGATCACTMTGAACAGGTTGGGGAGGGAGCAGAGGATCCAGCTGGGGCTGGCAGCCAGCAATCTAGACCAAGGAGAACCAAGTCCAGTCTGTGAGATGGTGCTTTTAGCAGCACTGGCCACTATGCCTGATGACGTGAGCTCCTGCATGTCCTCCATGAACACCCMTACTCCACCTGTCATGCTCCAGCCAAACCCATTAGCTGACAAGTGGTCAGACCATGATTTGCCCTACTCTGTGTGTCAGTCACTGTCCCCTACCAGCACCCSTAGGGCTGAGGCCTTGCTTGCTGAACAGAGTTCCCTGATGGCTCTGGACTCTTCTTTTTTTCCYTTGTCAGCCACAGAGAGGCATCATATGGAGACACGTGCTGAGAGGAATGCTATCCCAGAGCCACATGATGCTTCCCCAGGCACTTCTCACACACAGGGTGGGTGCACATCACGCCACGCCACACCATGCCACGCCACACCATGCGTTTTGGGGCTGTACCTGGGTGGTTGTGCTGAGCTGTGTGCTGACTCTGCCAGGGACATCTCCAGAGCTCGCTGCAGTGCCTCTTCCTCACTCTGAAACAAAYGCATTGTCACCAGCTTGGCCAGGATGGGGGGGCAGGGGGCAGGAGGAAGCCCTGAAGTACATGCAGCAGGTACAGTCTTTCCTGGCCAAGAGTGGGCAAATCTCTCTCCAGGAAGCCAGACACAGCCAACGTGAAAAACTGGGGCTCTGGACAGACCTGCAGTGTTCTCCCCCTGCCTAAGGGGACACATCCCTGCCTGCTAATGCAGAAGGTATGCCAAGAACACTAACTAGTGGAAAGCAACTTCCAGTCTCCTCCTCCAGCCTTTGCTTGTACTACAGRAAGACAATACCCAAGGAAAATGGCTGGTGCACTTTGTCCCTCTGGGGAAAGCTAAGCACCAAGCACAGCTGAAAGCTGTCATTTGCAGGCACCAGAGCAATATCTGAATTCCCRCAGAGCATCCAGAATCACTGTCTGTCAGAGAAGGCCCAGCTAGGAGTACAGTCACCTGCCGAGCGTGGGCTAGAAAGCATTTATTGCAGTTACTTCCAAGGGTACAGAAACCACCCCAAATACCCAAATGCCCAGGCCAAGCMACTCACCAGCCCATTCTGCAGCATGACAGCTGGAGGGGAGGTGCTACGAGTTTGCAATGCAGCTGCTCTGCCTCCCCTGCAAGTAGGAGAGAAGCCGGGTTATTGTCAAAGCAGGGAGCCCTGGTACAACTATCAGTCCTGCTGAGGCACAAGAAGCAGGGAGCTGTCGCTCTGGCATCCCACAGGGAGCCAAAGCTAAGCCTGGTCATGCCCATCTCAGAATTACAAGTCAGGCCATCACCTTACCTGGCAGAGGCCGGAGAAGAGGAACTGTCTCTTGGCTGGGAAGCTCCACTGCTCGATGCAGTGACTATTTTGGAGGCAGATGCCTGGGCTCTGGTAACTGCAGCATGCCTAGGACAGACAGGACACCTGTGAGAAACTGTTTTACCACCATGAGCARTTCCTAGGCACTGAACACCTTGGGAGATAAAGCCAGATAGCAAGACACCTCCCCGACTCCTTCTCCTCCCCAGAGTACCCACGTTGTGGCTGCTATTCCTAAGAGTTTCAAGTGCTGTTTCTATCTCTGAAACCCTGTACCAGGATTGGCAGAAACCATTGGCTACAGAATAAGGGGCTGGGGAAAGAAGCAAGAGAAAGCAGTCTGCAGGCAGTACTGACAGCTTTTGCCGCAGGAGAGAGACTATGCATACTGCTGTGCTTGGTGCTGCTAGAGGACACCCCAGCACACAGGGTAGGGAGTGTGTGAATGCAGTGGTCCCAGACAATGCGTCASGAAGAGCTGGGCTTCTTTCCTGTCACCCACCTGGCAAATATAGCCCCACCCCTGCTGACCTGTCTGCTCCCAGGTCCTCACCCTGCTTTGGAAAGGGGATGCCCTGCCCCACTGCAGTCATGGTCCAAGGGGTGCCGGTGCTTGAGGCAGTAGTTCCTGTGGCACTGGTCACAGATCACCTTCATCATCTCCTTCTGCTTGCAGCCAGGTTTCAAACACTTGTTGGTGAAGATCTGAAAGATGACACAGCAGTGATCAAAAGGAGCACATGCTGCAGGGCTGGGATTGTCCCTTCTCTCCATGTCTGGCCCCAGCCACTGACCAGCCTTCCCCACCAATGTGTCTTCTGCAAGACTCTCTGAAGTTTGTCTCTGCATACTGGCTTTCTTTAGATAGTTCATAAGCAATTCACTGGTGTTTTAGTCTCCATAGACAAGGGTCTCCACAACTGCTGAATGCACAGCAGGAGAAAAGAGTGCTTTGCTCAGGGACTCCTGCCTACCATGCCAGTGCAGTGGGGACAGTCCAGAGCATTCCAGCTGCTGTCAGGCTGGATTCCTGCAGGGCCAGCTCTCTGTAGCAATTTAATCTCCTGGCAAGATGGGGTAGCTAATTGCTGATTGCATTTTCCTAATAGCAGCATGCAGTTTCCCATCCTTATGTCCCAGGTGGCTGCCCAGCCCCACTCCAACCACCTTGATCTGCCCTCACAAAGCCCTGCAGATGCACACCTYCAGCTCACCAACCCTCCCTGCTATCAGCCTGTGCCAACAGAGACAGCCCTGGGCAGAAATGAATCTGCACTGTTTTCATCCCATTCTGAGGCTCCATCAGAGAGCTGGCAGAGCTCACCTGGCAGAGCCACACAGTACCTACCTTGCGCTTGCGTTGTGCAGGGTCAGATCTGCAGTCACGGTCGATGTGCTCACCCACCACAACATCAGGCATCTCCCCCCGCCTCACAGGGACTGGGGTGTTACAGAGGGGGCACACTGGGACCTGCACATCCTGCAAATACAATAAAAGGGAGCTGGGAGCAGGTAGCTGGGCAACCTTGAGTGCTACACAGTCATCTTTCCCTTTCTGGACCTGCCTACCATGGCTTCACAGATTCAGCTATAGTTTGGGATCCTGCTCATGATCCTCCAACCAGCTTATACAGCAGGTGCAAAGGCACAGACACACACTCTGGGCCCAAAGACAGTATGGCTGGGAGATGCCCAAACYATTTCACCCAGTGGGAGAGGGAGGACTAGATGCAGATCCTGGCTTTCAAGGACATCTTCAGACTTAGTGCACATCCCAAAGTGGACTGCTCAAGCGACCAAAGTCACCACACATTATTGTGACCCATGGACGGAAAAGCTCAACAGCTCTATGCAGGAGGGTGGATGAAATCTGCTCTCTGCACTTACCTTCTTGTAAGCAGAAGTGCAATCATGCTGGGCGTAAGCAATGTGGTCGGTGCAGAAGATCTGCTCGCAGGCATCGCACTTCAGGGGAAGGAAGTCTAGGAGCACGGATATGCCATGGGCAGAGAGCATGGAGATCAGCATTGCCCACCCGCAGCCCGGGGGACCTCCTCGACTTCCCAAAGGCACAACTATGACCCGCGGCAGAGCCAGGGCGGCACCTCTCATCCCCCAGCACGAAAACAAAAGGGCTGCAGGTCCTCAGTCACGTCTGCAGAAATACCCAAGGCTTCTCCTCAAAACGTCTCTGAGATCAGGAGTTGCATCCTGAATGACACCGAGCTCCCCGTGGGCTGCCGGCCTCAAACCGGTGGTGAGCGATACTGCCACAGACACCAGCGGGGTTCACCCACCGGGGTATGAACGGGCCCCAGCGGCCCCGCCGTGTGCGGCCTCCCCAGCYTGCAGCACCGAGGGCCGGCGGCCTGGGTGCCTGTCCAGGCCCTGCCCCGCTATTCCCGGCCAAGAGCCGCTGCCCAGCCCGGGTAGTGCCGCGCACCCAGACAGAGCCACCCGCCTAMAGCCTGGTCTACCGGCACTGACACCCAGCCCCGCCCTTGCGGGGCTCCCGCGGGCAGCGGGAAGGACCGGGGACCCCTCCGCCAAGGGCAGCACGGGCGACACGGCCCGCCCTTCAACCCCCGCTACCGAGCGGCGCCCGGCACCGTCCCGCAGCCTCCCCGCAGGCCGGGCTACCCGGTCCGTGCCGCCCAGGCCCGAGCCCGCGGCCGTCTCGCCCCGGTGTGAGCCGTGCCCGCCCCCCGGCCCTCCCCGACGCTCACCCAGGCGCTGGCAGGCGGACCAGGAGCAGTGTGCGCCCAGGTCTGGGAACTCCATGGCGGCACTGCCGCCACCGGCACCGGCGGCCCCGCCGCGCCCGCTTCCGGCGGGGCGTCACGGGGCGGGCCCAGGCACAGCCCCGCCCCAGCAGGCCTCGCCCCGCCCGCGGCTCCGCCTGCCCTCCCCCAACCCTTCCGCGTCTCCTTCCTCCGGAGCACCGTGACAGCCGTGGGAATACCAGCCACAGAAACCTGCTCCGGGCTGGGGGAAGGCTCAGGGCAAGGCCTTGGAGTCAGCGAGGGCCAGTGTCAAAGGCATCCTGCCCTGCCAGGCCAGCAAGAAGTGTCTCTGCCCACATGGGACAGCTTGGACTTTTCCCTCCATCATTCCCTTCTCCTGCCCCAAGGGACACAAACCACGGATCTTGCCGTGTAACAGAGCACCTGGCTCTATTCCAGCCACATCGGAGTCTCCAGGTGCCATGCTACGATGCCCAGCAGAGCACAGATGGGGTGCTAGAAGGGTCAGTGGTGCAGAAGGCGAGAGATGCCACGGCTCCAAGAAACTGGAGTACTAAATAGGGCCAGGAGTGAATTTCATTGATTGCAAAAAAATCAACTCCACAGCCACCCAATAACAGAACTCAAATGACACAGGGAAAAAAAGCAGGTATCACCCAACACCCTATTCCAGCAGTGATACAGAAGACAGTAACAGTCTGCAGAAGGGGGTCTCAGCACAAAACCCATCTGCCCTTGTCCCCTTACTGCTACCCTCTGCTCCAAAGATACCTTTCCCTTTGCTTGCCCCTGAGAGCCACATTTGACTGTGCACCCCATCCCTCCCCCCAGACAAAACCAATGAAAGTTAAAATTATTTACACTTTTTGCCATTTAAAAACCCAATAAAATAAGATTGCATATGTCCTACTGGGGATGTGGGTATTAGCAGCAGCTACAGCTAGCTTGGTACTCTGCGTGCAAAACGAAAGACAAACAGAAGACAGACCGAAATACTGCACCATTACTAGGAAGCGTTTGCTGGGGTTGGTGTTTCAATTGTGGCATAAGGCTTCTAGAAGTTGGCTCCTCCCCAGCTGCAGGGCCTCCTGCTCAGCCAGTGAAGGCCAGGCTCTAGAAGGATGGAAAGGATTCATTATTCCAGACACAGCACATTAACACTGACGCATTTCCATCCCAGGCAACACAAACATCTAAAAACCCACTGCACGTTCACTGTGAGTTTTTCCTTCTTTCCAGTGATAATGGAGGAAAAAGGGGTGCACAAGTAAGACCTAAGACATAGATGCTGCTGTCATCACTGCCTCCTCCTCATCTCCTTGCTTCGGCAGCTTGGCAAGCGTGGGAGAGGAGGGAGACGGAGCAGCCTCTTGTGCCTCCTGCTCCTTTCCAAGCCCCAGCTCTACATCCATTTGCTCCAGCTCCCCCTGATCCAGTAGCTCAAAGTCATCTGCTTCCTCCTCATCCTCTGGTGAAGCTTCTGTCTCTGTCTCCACCACTTCACTCTCTGACAGGTGTGCTTGGAAGCTCAGTTTCTCTTCAGGCTCAGTGGGGAGGAACTCAGAGAGGGAGGGTCCCTCACTAGCCTCTGAGGACCGCAGGAGGGCAGAGAGAGTATTCTGCACTGCCGTGGTGATGGCAGTGGTGACAATCTCCTCACTCAGCGTGTTAATGCAGACACCCAGGCCTGGGGCAGGGACAGTCTTTGGCTCTGCATTGCCTCCTGCCACTTGCCCACTCCCATTGAAGTGCGTATTTACAAAATGGAGAGGAGACGCGAGGCGAAGGATGGAGAGGTCAGAGTCCACGGCCTCTTTCTCTGCTGAGTCCAGTTCACAGGCAGCATGCGCAAGCTCAGGACCCAGAGGCACACCAAACCCATCTTCATCACTCTGTGGTCCCACGTCTCTGGAATGATATTCTTCCACAGATGGAAAYTCTGCCAGGTCCTTGGAAAACGACTCCTCCGGCTCACTGTGCAGGCTCTGCTGATCAAGGTCTGAAAGGCACCAGCATTAAGGCACAGGTCCCCTCACCTTGACCTCCCACCCACCTTCCCCCAGCTGATATACCACAGCTGACTTTCCAGTACCTTCCCCATCCTTGAAGCACAGCAGGAAGAGGTCTGCAGTTACTCCCTTGTGCCAGTGGCATGATTCACGTGGAATGTTCCTTTTGTGATCCTGTTCTATGTGCTCTGTGCTTAGACAGGACTTCCTGCTCCAACTCACGCTCTCTGCATCTAGAGCCCCCCATTAAAACCCCCAAGGTCAGGGAAATTGTGCTTACAGCACATCACCTGCCTGCTCCACCCCAGACACCCAAGTGGCCACATCCRAGTGGTTACCTCCATGTTTTTCACCACTAACCAGTCCTTCTCTGAGCTAGTAAGTCTGACAGGGTGGGGTGTCTGAACTCTTTCATCCAGCTTCATACATGGGTGTGTGACTATCCTACTCAGTTATTTTTGTGGGACTTAGCGAATGGCTTTGCTCCCTTGCTGGAGTCACAAGATGGCATTGCTTTGTGGGGCAGTAATTAGAGGCAGATGTCAACTCAGGACCAGCTTATGATCAGCCATGATGTCAGGGCATGCTGCACTGCTTTTCTTTCCTCCTTTCAATGCTCTCTCTTCCCATGCAAACAGCTGGGTTCTCTCCCTGTCCTCCTATCTGTAAGACCCAATGTTCTGGGCCAAAACACCCAGGATAAGGGGGCAGCAAGGTGTCCCATCATGTACCTTCAGAAACGTCCGTCAGCTGTGGGGTGGTAGCCCTTGAGACAGAGAAGCCCCCACTCTCCAGGATAGAAGCCTCCTCATCAGAGAGCTCAGAATCTGTGATTGACAGTGCCAGGGCAGTTTTCTTCACATCCACCTGCATGGGATGAAGGTAGAGAGACAAATTCCTGTGTATCTAAGTACCATTGCTGCCTACAGGCACCTGCAGACCTTCCAGGCAGAAGTCCTTGCTGGAGGGACAGTATGCTGGCTCCCTGCGCTGCAGAGAAGGGCCATGTCAGCTCACTGGCTTTCCTGCAATAAATCACTGCTCAAAGCTGTGCCTGCTCTCAGGCAGGTTCTTCTCTCTCGTGAAGAACCCAAAAGAGGCAGCACAAGATGAGACTGTAGGAACCTTGGAAGGCTTTGATCCTTCTTCCTTTCCTGGGATCACCAAGGAGCAGAACATCCCTTCCCTTCTGCATTCACACTGAGCCCAATGAACCTTCTACAAGTAGCAGTGGCTCAAATATCCACATTCCTTTGGAAACAAGCTTCCCACCTCACAGCCCAGCTACATGCCCAGAACTGCTRAAAAGAAAGATGCTTGGTTTGTTTCTGTGATGTGAATATAGAAAAGTCAGACACAATCTGTCGGAAAGCAGAGAACTATGTAAGAGACACTAGAGCAGCTCAACTTCCTTTTCCAGTTTTCAGGAGCCCCTGTACATTACACCAAGGGAGTTCATTTCTTCAGGAAACATTCACATTCTCTGCGCATGAAACATAACCGTCAAAATAACTGAGGTCAGCAGGAGGCTGGGGCATGGCTGGTCGTGTCCTGCTATGGCTTCACCAGCTCTGTGGCACTGAATTCTCAATACTCAGGTTGGAGACAATGGCCTTTATCAGACACACGCCCTTCTCCCMTAAGAATTCTGCAAAGAAGTGACTTATTGCTCTGCTGTGTGTTATCACTGTCACTGTACTCAGATTATCCCCTGGCTCTCAAGCTGCTATAGCCTAGACAGAAGGGACTGGCTCCTGCTAAGCTCTTTGTGCTCTTACCACTGGGGAGAAGCCTGACAGCTCTGCTTCACTCTCACTCTCCGTCTCTGCTGTTGGCTCGTCACCTGCTGCAGGCTCACTCTTCACTTGTCGTTCTGTGAGAAAGAGAAGAAAGGCTTTACATGATCCTGAAGGAATTTCCTGCCTTTATACATCACTTTTCTACTACCCTGTGAAAGTGCACAGGGTTCCTGGAGACAACCATAATCTGTTGCTCTCATGTGCTGTTCTCAGGGTCACCTGAGAGCACACAGTAGCTCTCCACATAACGCYCAAGTTTCCATCTCTTTTCCCCTGCTCCTTTGCAGCCCTTCACCACACAGTGTTGGCAGACATGGTCTCCTATTTTGCTAGGGCTGCACCCAAGGAATACAGAACCAAAAAAAAGCCAGAGAGAAGGTGGGTCCTTACTCTTCTTCTCATGCTTGTGGTGCAGTGTCTCTGCTTTCATACTGTAGTCCAGTTTCATCAGGACAGGCTCCAAGCGTGTGTACATCCTCTGGATCAGCTCATGGTAGACCACCAGAGGCCAGAGCAGAATGCTGAGCACTGTAGACATGGGATGCAGGGAGTGTGAGAGACAGACCAAGCACAACCTGACCCTTCCTGTGGTGCCACCGAGAAACTCTGCATCAAGGGAAACACATTTGAACTGCATGTGCTTTCCCATCTAACAGCCTAAAAATCCTTATCCATGGCTCTTCTTACTCATTCCAAAGCTGCTTGATTAACAGTGTTTTACTGCTAGATCTCAGATAGAATATAGATTTATTTTAAGACGAAGAGTAAGCCCTTCTCTTCAGCCACTGCACCCCAGCCCCAACATGCAATAGAAGCCCTGAAATGAGTTTAAATGACAATTTAAACTAAAACCAAAACTTTTATAAAGGTAGCAGCATACAGCTCATATGTAGATGCGCTCACAGGAGAGCACCAGAACAGAGTTRTAAGGGACTCATGATGCAGTGAAAAAGGTCTATGTACCTAACACACAACTTTGTTAACAACACTCTCGATATGGATTTGCCTATGTTAGGAACTGACATGCTTTCTGTTTCCCTGGTTCCCTGGCCAGCACAGCCTCAGCTGTGGGGAACAGAGGGCACCAATGTTTTAGTCAYGGCTCCCTCTCCTGCCTTTGCAGTTGTACTGCACTTACAGAGACTTCCTGGAACACATTCCCTGTGTTGATTCATCATCTAGCACAGATCCCTTGAGAAAACTACAAATCTGCTTTTACCAGCCTATCAACAGCACAGTTAGGTCATGTCTCAGCTTAAGTCAGACAAGAGAGCTGCCTATACTCACAAATGATGTAGGAGATCATTATG